TAAGAATACAATTTAAGAACCTATTTATAAACTGAAAACAAGATGAGAGAAAAATAAATATAATCAGCCCAACAGTTACCAATAAAGTGCATGTATTACTCAGCCATAAATAAAACTTTCACAAATCCAACTTGGTTAGGAAGCACCCTAAATTGACAGCCTTTATAGCATATTTAACCTGAAGACTGGGGAAAGTCATTCTACACTTCAAGCTGGGATCCAAGGAATCGCTTCTGTCAACCGGAGGGAAAGTTCTGTTGAACAAATGAAATTGTTGGAGAGGCGATGGAGGAAATTGTTGAGAGAGAGAAATGCAAGATGGGGCATCGTGTTGGGCTGCGACAGATTGTAATGGATTGCTTCCAAGTCGGGTCAGCAACAAATTGGGGGTGGTGGGAGGAATCACCCCCAACCGCCTTGTATTTCGCCAGAAGAAAGGTAGCAACCCTCTTTTATGGGGTAGAAAGAAGCAGAATCCGCAATGTCCCCAGGACCTTATAGTTTGGGGTGGAGGGTGGAGGGGGGAATACTGGCTCTTCAAGGGTTAAGGGCAGCGATTCTATTGCTAGAGAGGACTTCCTGGGGGGGAGAGGGAAGCGTCACTTCCTCCTCCGTCTGTCACATTTGACAAGCTGCGAGGGAGGAGATTCTGCAGCGCGGAAGACTGTGCCTTTTGCAAGGTAGGAAAAGAGGGATATATTTGGGGGGCGGAGGGGGCTCCCGTGCCAGAGCAGGAGAGAAGCCCTCCGGGGAGGAGCATGCATGGGGTTGCACCCCACAAATGGGACCCGAAAGAGCTGCGGGGAGAGCAAAGGGACCTCGAGGGCTGCAGGGGCGCCCCAGGGGGAGAGCAAGGCAAGAAGGCGAGGCGGGGGGGGGAGGGAGTTTAGGGTGGGGTAGGAACCCCCCCAAAAAAGGAAAGGGGGCAGGATGGCTCTGGGGAGAGGAGAGGGAGGCATGGATGTTTGGAAAGAAAGGGTCGAGTAGAGAGGGCAGGATTAGACCAAGGGGGGGGTCTTGGATGGGGGCTTTCTGCCTGCTGAGGAGATGCTCTGCTCTTGAGCTGCACCCCTTCCCCTAAAGTGGGGTGGGGAGGAGGTGGAAGTGGGGGGGTGCAGCCCAGGTCACAGCTCCAGGCTGGCAGAGAGAGAAGGAAGCCAAAAAAGGAATGTTTTGAATGTTGGTGGGAAGAAGATCCCTTTCAGGCATGACTCCACTTTCCTTGCATGGTGGGGTTCAGGAGGGGGGGACACTCCTCTTTTATCATGGGAGCTCCACACCTAGGCAGGCTTATCATTCACCAGGAAAATATCTTGGGCGGGAAAAGCCTGCAGGGCCCTCAGAGGCTGCCTTTGCTTCTTCTCCCTCCCAATAACCTGCATCTTCCGAGCTCCTCAGGAAGGATGGAAAGAGGCAGATCCTAGCGAGGATGGAAGGGGGAAGATGGACGGTTGACCTGGTCCGGCTGCCTCCCACAACCTCTGACCGTTCCCCTCCAGGACACCTCAGAGAGATCTGGTGAGTGGCAGGGAATGGAGTTGGGGGCATGGAGGTTTGGGGAGTGGAAACAAGGAAATTCTGTGGCAAGATAAATCCCTGCAGGCTCCCTTTGCTTCTGCCTGAGTTACAGGGGTTGGGGGGGAGGATGGATGGACGGGGAGGGACACCCCCCAAGTGAGCAGAAAAGACACAGGGGGGAGAAAAGGCAAGGAGGTCTTGACTGGAAGAAGGGAGGGGAAGAGGACCAATGGGTTTCTGTGTGTCAGAAGAGGGAGAATATGCACAGCAGTCCATTGCAGATTTACTCATATGTAAGCTCCACTGAGTTCAACGGGATATACTTTCAGGTCACTACTGAGCGTACCATGCCGGCCTTAGGAAAGATAGAGGAAGCAGACAGATTAATTTGGAATCACAAAAACATGTTTAATAACAGCTTGGGACTGTTGCAGAGGGGATGTCCAGCGGCAGGAGAATATCTAGGGCAGGAGAATTCTCTGCAGGGCTGCTGAGACTTCCTTTGCTTCTTTTTCCGTCCCAGGAAAATGCCGCTTGTTTTGCCTTCTGAGCTCCTCAGGAAGGATGAAAGAGTCTGATTCCCCTGGTATGCCTCTCCTGGTATGCCCCGCAGAAGACCTTAAGGTCCATGAATAATCATAGTTTGGGCCCTAAGGAAGTCCGATTATCCTCCACCAGGGCCAGGGCCTTCTTAGTGATGGCTCCGACCTGGTGGAATGCTCTGCCCCATGAGACCAGGGCCCTGCAGGATTTAACTTCCTTCCGCGGGGCCTGTAAGACAGAGCTATTCCGCCTGGCTTTCAATTTGAACTTAGCCTGATCTTTTACTCCACTTCCTTCCCTCCCCCTTCCTTTTTTATGAAGATTACCCACTCTGGGATCCCACAGCTAATTCTCCCCTGGTCTCCTCGCTGGCCCAAATAGGACTAATTTAGGCAGCTAGCCCTGGTGATCATCTAATGTTCAGGTGGATGGATTTCCACCTAAATTGATTTTTGATTTTTGAATTCTGAATTTATTGTTATTCACATTTTATACTGTATTTTATGCTGTTTTTTGTTGCATCAATTAAGTGTTTTAAATTTGTTGTTCGCTGCATTGAGCCCGGTTTTCTGAACCAGGAAGGGTGGGGCATAAATAAAAATTTATTTATTTATTATTATTATTATTATTATTCTGCAAACCTAGCGAGGATGGAAGGAGGAAGATGGACGGTTGACCTGGTCAGGCTGTCTCCCACCACCTTTGAATGTTCCCTCCCAGGACCTTTAGAGAGATCTGGTGAGTTCCAAGGAATGGAGATGGGGACCTGGGGAGATGTTGGGGGGTGAGGAAGCTCCCCTGGCAAGAAAACAAGGAGGGCTGCAGGGCCAGAGCTCTGGACTGGCAGAGATTAAAGATAGGCAGGAAATGAATGTTTTCTAATGGTGACTTGGCCATAGTCAGGATTTGGGGGCTGCTGTCTACCAGCTCCATCTGGTACACAGGCTGAGACCCTACCTGCACACAGACTGTGGTACATGCTATGGTTATCTCCCGCTTGGATTGCTACAATGCACTGTAGGTGGGGCTGCCTTTGAAAGTGACTCGGAAACTACAATTAATCCAGAAAGCGGCAGCTCAACTGGTGACTGGGAGCAGTTGCCAGGAGCATATAACACTGGTCTTAAAGGATCTACATCGGCTCAGAGTTTGTTTCTGAGCATCATTCAAAGTGTTGGTGCTGACCTTTAAAGCTCTAAACACCCTGTAGACCTGAAGGAGCATCTCTAACCCCAGACACAGAGGTCCAGCTCTAGTTCCCTGATTGCCAGAAGTGAAGTTACAGGGAACTAGGCAGTGGGCCTGCTCAGTGGTGGCACCCTTCAGATGTCAAGCAGATAAAGAACTATGTAGCTTTTAGAAGACATCTGAAGGCAGCCCCTGTATTGGGCAGTTTGATGTTTTATATATGCTGTGGCTGAGGAAACCCAGCCAGATGGGCAGGGTATAAATAATAAAATCATCATCATCATCATCATCAGATGTTACAGAAAGTCTCACTAGGATGGTGATTTGGATTACATTTTTAATTGTCATCTTCCCTTAACTTTAGCAGGTGATGAACACGACAGTCGTTGTTCTCGGGTCTCATCAGAAAGAACCAAGAATGAAGTCAAAGGAAAGACCTTTCAAGATCAAGAGGAAACAAGACCACAAGAGAAAAACCAAGAAGAAAATAGGAGGTATGAAGGCCTTCTAATGCAGACTGATAACGGCCATCGAATCCCAGTCCAGAAAAACATCAGAAGGGGAAGGGAACAAATGGGAGACCTTTATGTGGCAAAACATTCCAAAGTAAATCTAGGTTCAATTCACACTGCAGAATCCACACAGAGGAGAAACCGTGTAAATGCTTGGTGTGTGGAAAGAGCTTCAGTGACAGCTCAGGCCTAAAATCACATGAAAAAATTCACGCAGGACAGGAATCATACAAATGCCTAGAATGTGGAAAGGGTTTCAATCGCCACTCAAACCTTAAAAGACATCAGAAAGTCCACAGTGAGGAGAAACCATATTCCTGTCTAGAGTGTGGAAAGGCCTTCATTTACAGCTCAGGCCTTGTAGATCATCAAAAAATTCACACAGGGGAGAAACCGTATACCTGTTTGGACTGTGGAAAGACCTTCTGTCAAAGCTCAAACCTTGCATCTCATCAAAAAACCCACACAGGGGAGAAGCCATATAAATGTTTGGAGTGCGGAATGAGCTTCGCTCATGGCTCAAGTCTTACATTGCATCAAAGAATTCACACTGGGGAGAAATCTTATAAATGTTTGGAGTGCGGAAGGAGCTTTGCTCACAGTGTTAGCCTTACTACACATAAGAGAACCCACACAGGGGAGAAACCATATAAATGCTTGGAATGTGGAAAGTGCTTCAGCCAGAGTTCACACCTTAGTTCACATAAGAGAACTCACACTGGTGAGAAGCCGTATAAATGCTTTGAGTGTGGGAAGAGCTTCAGTCATAGTTCACATCTTACTGTGCATGAGCGAATCCATACAGGGGAAAAACCATATAAATGTGTGACATGTGGAAAGAGCTTTAGTAACTCCACATCACTTGTTATCCACCGCAGCATCCATTCAGAAGAGAAGCCATATAAGTGCTTTGAGTGTGGAAAGAGCTTCCGGCATGGTACAGGCCTTCATAAACATCAAAAAATTCACAGAGGTGAAAAACCGTATGCATGTTTTGAGTGTGGAAAGAGCTTCACTCACAGATCACAGTTTAAATGTCATCAAAGAATTCACACAGGGGTGAAACCATATACCTGTTTTGAGTGTGGAAAGAACTTCACTGAAAGCTCAAGCCTTAGATCTCATCACAAAGTTCACACAGGGGAGAAACCACATAAATGTTTGGAGTGTGGAAAGAGATTTGCACATGGATCTGGCCTTACTTCTCATAAAAGAATTCACACAGGGGAGAAACCATATATATGTTTGGAGTGTGGAAAGAGATTTGCACAGGGATCTGCCCTTACTTCTCATAAAAGAACTCACACAAGGGAGAAACCATATAAATGTTTGGAGTGTGGAAAGAGATTTGCACAGGGATCTACGCTTACTTCTCATAAAAGAACTCACACAGGGGAGAAACCATATAAATGTTTGGAGTGTGGAAAGAGATTTGCACATGGATCTACGCTTACTTCTCATAAAAGAACTCACATGGGATAAACCATATATATACTTGGAATGTGGGAAAAGATTTGGTCAGATTTCGCATCTCATTTTGCATAAGTGAATCAAGATGGGGAAAATATTTCGATTCTTGTAATGAGGAAAGCACTTTAAGTGGAGCACCGCTAATTTGCAAGATATAGGTTTGTTGGATTTGGAGGGACATAATAACCGTTGGGCTTGGCACCCTTATTGAATTTATGGAAAGGCAAAAATACACAGAGATTTCTCAAATCATATTATAAGGAGATCACTTCTTAAAGTTTGGGAGAAATACAAAGATCGGTTGGAGCCTAAAATCCCGTGGTGGGCCTCTCCAAGCAGAGGCTACAGTGGTGAAGGAAAAAAATATGTTGTGAAATTGGCCTACTTATAAAATAATTTTAAAAGAAGATAACCAACTGAAACTTAAAAGTTTTGAGGAATTAAGAGATATTATTACAGATTGGTTCCAATATTATCCAATATTCAAAAAAATTAATGTAGTTAAAAAGGGTTTGCCAAGGAAACCTCGAGATTTGATTTACATCAGCCGTGATAAAGTGGTCTCAAGACTTTGGGTATGTTATAACATTGTCCCAATGGGAAAATCTGTGGAAGAATAGTTGGAGATTTACCACGTGCTATGCCATAAGGAAAACGTTTTAAAAATGCAGCACCAGTGGTATTTGACTCCATGGAAATTAGCCAAAATGTACAAAGGAGCCAAAAGTAACTGTTGGTGATGTGGAGATCAAACAGGCTCACTGTATCATATATGGTGGCAATGTAGCAAAAGAAAGAAATTTTGGGAGGAAATCCATTTAGAATTAGAAAAAATGTTAAGACTTTCCTTTACAGTGGGACCTCGGGTTAAGAACTTAATTTGTTCTGGAGGTCCATTCTTAACCTGAAACTGTTCTTAACCTGAGGTACCACTTTAGCTAATGGGGCCTCCCGCTGCTACCGTGCGATTTCTGTTCTCATCCTGAAACAAAGTTCTTAACCGAGGTACTATTTCTGAGGTAGTGGAGTCTGTAACCTGAAGCATCTGTAACCTGAGGTGTCTGTAACACGAGGTACCACTGTAATAGAAAGCCAGAGGCACATCTGTTGGGGATCACTGACTCAGATATTCCAAAACAAATTAAAGGTATTTTTTTGTATGCAACAGTGGCAGCGAGAGTCCTTATAGCCATCAAGGTGGAAAAGCAACATAATTCCTTCCAGACAGGAGTGGATTCAAAAATTGACTGAATATGCTGAATTAGATAGCTTATCAGGAAAAAATAAACCGAGAGCTGAATTTTTATCAAAATGGGAGTGCCTGATCACCCCATCTGTCTCCTGAGAAATCTCTATGTGGGACAAGAAGCGACAGTTAGAACTGGATATGGAACAACTGATTGGTTCAAAATTGGGAAAGGAGTATGACAAGGCTGTATATTGTCTCCCTGCTTATTTAACTTATGTGCAGAATTCATCATGCGAAAGGCTGGGCTGGATGAATCCCAAGCCGGAATTAAGATTGCCGGAAGAAATATCAAGAACCTCAGATATGCAGATGACACAACCTTGATGGCAGAAAGTGAGGAGGAATTAAAGAACCTTTTATTGAGGGTGAAAGAGGAGAGCGCAAAATATGGTCTGAAGTTGAACATCAAAAAAACGAAGATCATGGCCACTGGTCCCATCACCTCCTGGCAAATAGAAGGGGGGGAAATGGAGGCAGTGAGAGATTTTACTTTCTTGGACTCCATGATCACTGCAGATGGTGACAGCAGCCACGAAATTAAAAGACGCCTGCTTCTTGGGAGAAAAGCAATGGCAAACCTAGACAGCATGTTAAAAAGCAGAGAAATCACCTTGCCAATAAAGGTCCATATAGTTAAAGCTGTGGTTTTCCCAGTAGTGATGTATGAAAGTGAGAGCTGGACCATAAAAAAGGCTGATTGCTGAAGAATTGATGCTTTTGAATTATGGTGCTGGAGGAGACTCTTGAGAGTCCCATGGACTGCAAGAAGATCAAACCTATCCATTCTGAAGGAAATCAGCCCTGAGTGCTCACTGGAAGGACAGATTGTGAAGCTGAGGCTCCAGTACTTTGGCCACCTCATGAGAAGAGAAGACTCCCTGGAAAAGACCCTGATGTTGGGAAAGATGGAGGGGACAAGGAGAAGGGGATGACAGAGGACGAGATGGCTGGATAGTGTTCTTTAAGCTACCAGCATGAGTTTGACCAAACTGCGGGAGGCAGTGGAAGACAGGAGTGCCTGGCGTGCTCTGTTCCATGGGGTCACAAAGAGTCGGACACGACTAAATGACTAAACAACAAAAAAACTGTAAAAATAATATAAAAAATAATATTTTGGTATGGCAGTAAAGTTATTTAGAAAGAACTAAGGAATAAATGGGAGGTTGGGTTTAATGATAATGAGATTTTTTTTTTACTGTAACATGAAATTGCAATCTCAAATTTATGTCATATTCTTTATCTTACTAATAACAATAGATAGTTTAAGTTTTCTTTTCCTTCCCCCCTTCTTAATTTGTACTCTTTATTGGTATTGTCTTTTTGTAATATTTTTTTCCCAGTTATGTAATTTTGTCCCAGTTATGTAAGAGAGCTTCTTTCACTTCTTTCATTTAAATCCACGTAAATACAGAGATTACAATTACTTCCTGGCTTTCCGACTCTTCCTGCATCTGTATTTTATGCAAGGAGTAAAAATACATCTAATCCTAAGCTTTAGGAAGAAATTTCTGACTGCAAGTGAGATGAGCTACCTTGGAAGGTGGTGAACTCTCCTTCATTTTTTAAGGTTTTTCAGCAGAGGTCGGGTTTTTCCTGCATTGCAGGGGGTTGGTCTAGATCAGGGATTGTCGATCTGGTTCCTACCACACACTAGTGGGCATTTCAGGATTCTAACTGGGCAGTAGGGGGTTCGGAATCCTCCTTCCATCAAGTCCTGGTGGGCGGTAAGGAAATTTTACCATTAAGAAAGATGCATTAGTGGGCGGTAAGTATAAAAAGGCTGACTACCCCTGGACTGGGACGCGGTTGGTGCTGTGGTCTAATCCACAGAACCTAGGGCTTTCCTATCAGAAGGTTGGCGGTTTGAATCCCGTGACGGGGTGAGCTGCCGTTGCTCGGTCCCTGCTCCTGCCAACCTAGTAGTTCGAAAGCACATCAAAGTGCAAGTAGATAAATAGGTCCTGCTCTGGCGGGAAGGTAAACGGCGTTTCCATGCACTGCTCTGGTTCGCCAGAAGCGGCTTAGTCACGCTGGCCACATGACCCGGAAGCTGTACGCTGGCTCCCTTGGCCAGTAAAGCGAGATGAGCGCCGCAGCCCCAGAGTCATCCGCAACTAGACTTAACGGCCAGGGGTCCCTTTACCTTTACCCCAGGACTAGATGTTTCTTATGGTCCCTTCCAACACTACATTTGTATTATTCTTTGACCTTGAGTTTCCGGTTCTGGTCTTGCACCATGGCGGCAGCTCCCTCGACATTGGAGGGAGGCACAAATGAAGGGGTAGGGAACGGAAGGGTTTAAGCATTCCTGGAAACCTCCTGGGGTATGAGGGAGCAGACTGACTCGCAGTCGCCTCAACGGCTCACTCACATGCAGATCAGCATGGGGGCAGATGGAGGAGTTGGGTAATCACCTTTGCCATGATGCAACCCCCTCGGACCGCCATCAAAAGCGGAGGTTCTCCTTATAACTGGATTTTATTGGCTGTGCACTGGAGGAGATGTGGACACTAGAAGCTATATGTGGTTTGAAAGGAGTGAAGGTGGGGAGAACCTTGTTTTGACCGATGTCGTTGGGAAACTAGAGCTTAACCCTACCACCACCCAAAAAAGCGTGTGGATTTAAGGAGGTGTTGACATTCAACCTATTTTTAAGAGGAAAGACATTGGCTAAACAAAATAACGCTACCATGGAGGTGAGAGGAATTTCACAAGGGCACATGAATAGCAGTGGTCCCCGAATGCTTGGAGAGAAAAACCCTTCCTGTCTAAGACAAGGAAGAAAATGGTGAATGTTTGAAGTTGATTCTTCCAACCAACGGAAAGGAAAGGCCTGTTGTTTATCTTGAAGTGGGATGGAGGGGGAGCTGAGTTGAGGAGGACGGGACTTCATCTTGTCACATGGGATAAACCATATATATGCTTGGAGTGTGGGAAAAGATTTGGTCAGATTTCACAACTCATTTTGCATAAGCGAATCAAGAGGAAAGAAATATTGAGATGCTTGTAATGCGGAAAGCATTTTAATTAGAGCACCGCTGTTGCTAAACTTCATGGAATTCATACAATAATTCCAATGGGAGAAATGGTACAGCTGCTGTCACGAAGGTGCCGTCAACTACAGGGCTGGCTGGCTGCCTGGTGAAATCATTGGTGCTGTGAGCTTCTTTTGCTTCTTTCATTTAAATCAACAAAAACACACAGAAACATGGAATGTATGTCCTCAAAAACCTGAGCTGTTGCCTAGAGTGAGTCTTCCTGCCCCCAGCAGTTACTTCCTGGCCTTGAGTCCCTTCCTGTTGTCTACGGGGGCCACTAATGGAAAATCTCTGTGTCTGTTTGGCTTTCTGCGCTGTGAGATGAAGGGCACGCCTGGTTGTAGGGGAAGGAGGGGACTCCAGTATACTAGAGACATCGTGTCGCTTGGGTGCTGTGATATTTCTAACGCAACAGGCTCCTGTCTCTGTTCAGGGCTGGAGCACCTGCTATCTTGCTCCTGTTGATCCACTATTTCCCAGCTCCTTCCTTCTTTTGCGGTGTGTCCCATCTCAAACCACCGCAATTCTAGGTCCATACTTCCTTCCTCTTCCCCTTCTCTGAAGCCTATTGGAGTGGCAGTCTCCACCACTCTTGCTCATCTCATTTTTGAAAACAGACCAAAGGATGGCCTAATATGGTCACACTCTTATCTAAGGAAGCATGTTGTGTGGA